GGAGAGAGCCGAGTGCGCCTGGGTCCGAGGAGAGCCCGGGGCGGGGAGGGGGATACAAGTGTGTGTTTGACATCAGTGGTGGCCTCGCACCATCCTCCCTCCGTCCATCCCCCGCCCCAGCCCCAGCGCGCGGCGGCGGAGGCAGGAGAGAGGTGCCGGGGGAGGACCAGTTCCCACCCAAACCACCATCGCAGCCCCTCGAAGAGCCAGGGGGCACTGCCCTAGGGGAACGGAGGCAGGGGCTGGTGTTAGGCTTGGGTTGCCTTGTCTCATCACTGCTCCTGGGCTACGTGTCCCTCCCGCACAGGGGGGAGCAGCGCAGGACTCTCGGGACTCCCCGCACACGCGATGCCGCTCTTTGGGAACACCTTCAGCCCCAAGAAGACTCCCCCCAGGAAATGTGCCTCTCTCTCCAACCTGCACCTGGTGAGTCCCAGTGCCTGTGGTTTGTGGCAGGGGTGGGTGGCTCTGCCTGTGAGCTTCAGGACCCCTGCAAGAGCTCCCGGTTTCTTCTGGGGCAAGAAAAGGTTCTTCACCCAGTGGTTGTGCACTGGAACAGCTTTCCAGGGAAGTGATCACAGCCCCAAGCCTGATAGAGTTCAAGGTGCATTTGAACAATGCTCTCAGGCACATGGTGTGATTGTTGGGGCTGTACTGTGTTGGACTCGATGATCTTTGTGAGTTCCTTCCAGCTCAGGATGTTCTAACTGCTGCTTTCTTCCTGTGGTGTGGTCCAATTTCTGATCTCTGGTGACTACCTATGAAGCTAGAAAGCTCAGCAAAGGATCATCATCACCCCACCTGCAGTCCAGAACTCTGTCACCTAAAACTTCTCACCAATGGTCTCCAAACCCAGGGGGATGAGTGTATGTTTGGGCAGGAGAAAGTGCAAGGATGGTAGTGAGAGGATCTGGTCCTCTACCACAGCAGTAAATGACCGAAGTAGGATTCAGGGCCGTTCAGAGCAGCAGCTCCCATTGGAATGAAAGTTACTAAGAGATACGAGAGCAGGGGATGGCTTTGGAATTCTGTGAAACACTAACACTGATCTTCTCCCTGCAGCTGGATAGATCCACCCGTGAAATTGAGCTGGGCCTGGAGTATGGCAGCCCCACCATGAACCTTGCTGGCCAGAACATGAGGTTTGAGAATGGCCAGTGGGTGTCAGGTACAGTGCAGCTCAGCTTGTTTGGCTCTGAAGTAGCCAGGGTTGGCTGTCAATCCATATTTTAACCTCTCCCTTTCCTTCCAGAATCAGGAATCTTCACGGGGGATCGCAGGGAATTGCAGCGCCTGCGCAGACGAAACCAGCAGCTAGAGGAAGAAAACAACCTCCTTCGGCTGAAAGTGGATATACTGCTGGACATGGTGAGCCTTTGCCCAGTTCCTTCCAGATGGAATGGTTCTGGGACTGCTGCAGGAGGCTGCTCTCACTGCACACTGCTTTCTGCCTTACTCTGCTGTGCAGTACAGCTGAGGTGGCAAAGTGGCTGTGGGAATCAGGCCTGATCTCTGTGAAGAGAGGGAAGGGTTCCCTTCACATTGGAGCTTGTTGTGGACACTGTGACTGAGGAGAGTGGAGCCCCTGCAAGTGCCATGTCTCCTCTTTCCCCTCCTGCACAGAGTAGGGCATTTTTTGTGCCACTCTGGCTTCTGCTAAGAGACTAAGTTATAGCCTTTCTGGTCATAGGAGGTTAAAGCTTCTGTTTTGGTTAATGGTTGGACTTGATGATCTTAGAGGTCTCCTCCAACTTTGACTAATCTATGATCCGTTGTCACGAGGAGTGTGACATCTGTTTTGTGTGTATGAGAGAATTCCCAAGCCCTAAATAAACCAAAATTCAACCTTACCCAGAGATCACAGCTTTCATGCTTAAAATTTGGAGAGATTTCCAGTGAAAAAGAGCACATTTGTATTCCCAGTCCATTCAGTGATTCAGCCTTTGTCAGTCTGAACAAATACTCATACCTTCATTTTTTTTCTTACACTTTCCCTGTGCTTTAAAACTGGCATTGTGGCTTTTGTGACTGGAGCACTTAGTTGAAGGCCTAGTTGAAGGTTCATGGGGGGGGTGCCATACTCCAGGCCCAGCTCAATTTCACGGGTGGATCTATCCAGCTGCAGGGAGAAGATCAGTGTTAGTGTTTCACAGCATTCCAAACCTCCAGGTTTTCCAGGCGATCCCAGTGAAGTGTGAAATGGCAGCCTCCCCAGTACTAGCTCAGCCGGAAGAAATTCCCTCCTGCAGGTGCTGACTTGTGGCTGTAAATCTCAGCTGTGCTGTGAAGTCTGAAAAGCTCCTCGAGCTTTTAACCCACTCTTGTGGTGGTTTGGTGTGTGTTGCAGCTCTCCGAGACCACGGCCGAGTCCCACCTGATGGAGAAGGAGCTGCAGGAACTGAAGCTCCACAGTCGCAGGAGGAAGTGAAGAAGAAGAGGTGGCTGGAGGACAGGCTTGCTCTGGGTCTTGGCCCAGGGGACACCAGAGCCACCTGGGGCCTCCAGCAATGTTGGTACTGTGTGTAGGTACTTTGTTTAATGGGACCACGAGCGACTGACGCCTCCAGCACTGCGCGGTGCTGTGGGTACCTGGGCTGGCACCCCAGCACCTCCCACTGCAGCACTGCTCGTTAACACCTGTTTTCTCAGAGCACTTTACCTGGTACGTTCCCTCACGCGGCCCAGCACAGGTACCTGTTCCCCAAGGCAGCAGGACCGGCAGGAAGAGGAGATCCATCTCCACGTGGGCTCCTCCTCACCTGCTGAGCTTGGGAAGGCAGGGACGCCCCTGCCCCCCCAGATGGGCTCTTACGCGGTCCTCCCCGCATGCCTCGGTG